GCTCCTCATAAGACTTGTTCTCCAGACCCCTCACCAGCCTCGTTGCCCTTCTCTGGACACGCTCCAACATCTCAACATCCTTCTTGTAGTGAGGGGCCCAAAACTGAACACAGTATTCGAGCCTGTGCGGCCTCACCAGTGCCGAGTACAGGGGCACGATCACTTCCCTACTCCTGCTGGCCACACTAGTTCTGATACAGGCCAGGATGCCATTGGCCTTCTTGGCCGCCTGGGCACACTGCCGGCTCATGTTCAGCCGGCTGTCGACCAACACCCCCAGGTCCTTTTCCGCCAGGCAGCTTTCCAGCCACTCTTCCCCAAGCCTGTAGTGCTGCATGGGGTTGTTGTGGCTGAAGTGCAGGACCCGGCACTTGGCCTTGTTGGGTCTCATACAGTTGGCCTTGGCCCATCGATCCAGCCTGTCCAGGTCCCTCTGCAGAGCGATACTTCTGTACGTATGAAAGAGACAAGGCAGAGCATCTTGTTTTATTTCTCTCCACTTACTGTAGCTTTTTTTACCACAAATAATGATAAAACCAAATTGGGGGAGGAGTGGGGATCAGGCCTGACAATTCATGGATTTTCATAAGTATCTGAAGACATGCCTAATTAGCTTGTTTATACACTTCTGAAAACACTAAATGTTAATGTCAATGTGGAGGTGCTCAGGCAATTAATAATATGGATTGACATAGAGTCCATAAACATGTGTCCCAGTATTATTTAGTCCACTGATTTGCTTTCTGCCAATATCTTCTTTTTCTCTTCAGACAACTTTGTGGTAGATTCCAGCTCTTGTGTCCGTGCATGTCCAAGCTCCAAGATGGAGGTTGAAGAAAATGGTATTAAGATGTGCAAGCCGTGCACTGACATTTGTCCTAAAGGTAGGCAGTAGTTTAGTATAAATTTTCTTGAATGCGGTCTACACTGTAGTAGAGCAGAGCAAGGTGTTATTTTGGCATAAAATACCCTTCATGAGTATGTTGTAGAATATTAATAGTCTTTGGATATCCACAGAACTTTGAACTATGTAGACTGTGTGTGAAGTAATACAACAGAATGAAAATTCATTAAGTTGTAATGGCAATATAACCAAACTAATTACTTCTGATTAGATAAAAATGAAGGGGATTTCTCTGTTGGTTTTAGAGAAATTTGAAAGAATTCTTTATTATGTTATTTTAATGACAAGTATTTCCTGGAGGTGTTTTAGAGCTGTCCTTTTGTCATTCCAAAGGGGGCCATACTAAAGCCCTGGCTTCAATGTATGGTATGTCTCATACTTGTCAATACAACATTAGGTTTCCATTTATTTCCTCTGTTTTTTAAAATTGTCTCTGTTTTCCCAGAATCTTCTACCTCCTTTCTGTCTAAAACATAGACTAGAAGTTTTTCAGCGTTGGTGCTGTTGAGAAGAGTGAAATCTATAGGTTACTTTGCTGTCCCAAGCTCCACTAAGGAGACTTTCTGCTCTCTGCTTGAAGGTCTCAGGAGCAAAGCACCATTTGTTTTCCCACGTGGGCCTATGCCACTTTTCAGTCCTAGTGGAAGCCATATCTGGAAGGGAATTCACAATGAAGCTACTGAAAAACTGTAAATCAACAGTCATGCCACAAGGCTGAAAAAGTCAGAGATCTCTGCCACGGCAGGGTACTGACATGCTGAATTCAAAGTGAAGGCAATGTCTAGCCCTTTAACATAATTGGAGCAAATAACTTTTTTGCTAGATAGATAGTTTTATGCATGAAAATGCATGTGTAGTGTTCCTGTCAAGGTCTTAGCCTTACTCTGTGAGGAGGAAAGTTATCACATGTTTGTAAAAGGTTCAGGTGTACTGCTGGTAGTTGCCGTTAGAGGAGCCCATTTAGGGAGATAGGATACGTTATGTGATACAAGTCATGAAGGATTTGTTCCTGTATGTATCATGCGTCCCAGAAAATGCAACTAAATTACATAGAAAAGCTACGCAGAGAAGTTTCCTCACTGGGTACTAAAGTTTCTCCAGGCCTCAGTAACTTCTTTGTTGGGATGAGGAGTAAAGAATTATTTGTATGTCCTTTCTAAAGGACCTTATGGCATGTGAATAGTTAAGTTCACAAATCCACCAGAGCAAAGGGGACCTCTTGAGCTAGCAGTGTTAGGACCCCTCAGGTTCTGCAGTGAGTAGTGCACGCATAAATGGCATGGCCACCAGGCTAGTCTGAGCTAAGTTATCAACTATCTGTTTACAGCTGGCTTGAGGGGGATTTTGTGTGGTTCATATTTGCCTTTAGATCCAGTGTGATATACCTTAACCTGTGTGCCAGGAAGTCCTTCTGTGGCAGGTACTTTAGCTTATTGTTTGTTTTATATTGGCACATGCTTCTTTGGGAATATGGGTAAAGGGTGCCATTTTAACACCTCTCTGCTGCTTTGTCTCTGAAAGAAATGAAGACTCGCGTCTAGAAGGCCAACATGTTCTGATTCAGTAGTTGTTTTTCCTAGTTCTTTACACAAACTCCTTGTTTTGACAGCATGTGATGGCATTGGAACAGGGAGTTTAGTGTCAGCTCAGACGGTGGATTCCAGCAACATTGACAAGTTCATAAACTGTACCAAGATCAATGGCAACCTTATCTTCCTTGTTACTGGGATTCACGGGTAAGTGACAAAATGTTAAGATGTTATGTCATGGTGCCAGCTGAAATGAATTGCGTCCACCTCTTAATGATGGCTGCTGGCTTCTTTTACAGAATAGCAGATCCAGGATAAATTAGTTTTCTGCCTTCCATTATGAAGGAAACTTACCTTGATTCTTATGATTCAACCTCTAGGAAAAGAAAGGACGAAGTAGACTGTTTGTGCTAGAAAGAGAAAAGACAACTGTGATCTTTGGTTACTTTATGAGATCCTTGGTACTGGCTTACAATAATGGCTGATTAGAGAATAGAAGGGAAAAAGGGAAGTTACCTTCCATTAGTTTGTTTTAAATTTCATATGGCCAGCAGTCTAATGAGCAGAATATGCAGAGAGTGCCTCACCTAGCATAAATTGCCATAGCCTGGGTGGCTGTCACGGCATATACATGCAAAAAAGCTGCCCTCTTGTCAGTCAGTTTTGAAGCATATATTCAAGTTTCAATGGCAGAGATACACAAAACTCACTGGTATTTAATCCAGTGTTTTGGTTTAAATATAGCTGTATATTGAATAAGTCTTAGTAACGGTTGAAGATGCGAGGGACAGAACCAGTATTTAAAAGTCTCACCAATGTCTCCTTCTAAAGGAAGATATAACAGGCAGATAATTAGTGCCTTGCTGTTTAAAGTTTGGTGCACTGTGTGTTTGCTGTTGCAGCAAAGGTTAATGCATGGTGCAAATGCTGCAAGGGTGGGATGTGTCCAGGGAAGACAGACATACTCTCTTTCGATGGTCAGGTGAAGGCCAATGCAACTGGCCGCTTTCTTGCATTGTATTCTTCCTGTCATTGAGAGAACACAAATATGATTGTATCTTCTTACTAATTCAAGCTCTCATGTTGTGAATTCACCATCAGCCATGGTGAATTACATGTGACACTTTGAGGTATTTCTGGACATACTGAAATGAACAAAATCCTCAAAATGGACAAATAAGATTAAACCCTTTTGCCCGTTTGTTGTGATAAGTATGCAGATATTTTGTGGTACATTAACAATGTAAAGTACTCAATTGCTTCTACCACTGTGTAGGCTTCAAATTTTAACTTGCTTTTTATGTTCCTCAGAGCTTTCAACATTGCTTGCAACTGGTTGTCAACATTTGATACCTTAAATACAGTTCCCAAACCAACTCCATGTTTGTAACTTTATGGCATAGCCAAAATGTGATTAACTCAATGTCTACAGATTGATCTGAAATGGAATTCTGGCATAAGTAGTGCCAGCAGATTTTTCTTTAGTCTTTCTATATTATAATCTAAACTATCTGAATCTGAAGTGGTTGACACTAGGCTGCCTGGCTCAAATTTCCCTACTAGGTGAGGTGGAAAGAAATGACTTGTTTCCTTGATTTGATCTAGTGATTGGTTGTAATGCTTCACCTACAACTTGACTCCAGCCATGAGAAAGACAGTTGAAAATCCACTTCAGTGGGGCCCTACAGCTCAGTGATTTTCAAAAGGCCAGCAAATGTGAGCTTTGACTGTGTAGTTGGTCTTCTCATCTCTCCAGCAGGGAGTACAGTGTGAAAGGTTAATGTAGCCTAGGGAGGAAGAAGGACTTTGGTTCAAGTGGTTTAAGGAAATGCTGCTTCGAACTTGTTGAAACCCTGGAGAAGGTCACACAGGAGTCAGCGCTCAGGCCGTCACACTTTCTGATCTGGCCAAATGACCGACTGAGAGGCTGGATGTAAATCTATTCAGTCTCACAGGACAGGAAGTACTCTACTAAATGCAAGACAAGCAGCTAGAGGATGTGAGCAATTTTGTGTGGATTGTTCCAGTGCATTACATGAAATGTAATTTGGAGTATTAGAACTGCTTTTGTTGCAAAAGTTGTATTAGCTGCAAAGTTACGAGATGAGTCTCATTAAAAAGTCTGTCTAAATTAAAGGGACTAAAACCAACCTTGAATAAAACCGTATTCATCTGAAAAATATCTAAATTATGGACTATAAAGCAGAGGGTTAAAATATTTTGTTCTATTTTGATAGAAGAATATAAGCCTAGGACATGTAATGTTGAAACTGTGTAGCACTTTGTCTCTCATTCTTTTGAAGAAAACTCACTCCAACAAGTCTTAAGTATGAGGACACTGAGTTCTGCAACCCTAAATTTTTCCACAGCATAAATTACAGTAGTATATATTAAGAGAAGAGAAGAAGATTTGAGAATTAGTTAAAATAACTTTATATATCTGGAACAGCTTTTTGTTTAAAATTTCTGTTACATTTTGCAAATCAATCATACAGAAAGGAAATTAAAAAAATGACACTAGCTACACAAGTAGTTTATTATATAAATGGACAGTATGGAGCAACAACAATAATACATATTTCCACTCCAACTTTTAGTTAACTTCTTTTACAAATTCATTTACTCAGAGTGATCTGCAGCTTTTAAAAGTATGAATTTTCAGTGTTTCAGGTTGTAGGGACTTAAAGTCTAGCTCTCTGTTGGGAATTGAAAGACTTTTTGTACTGGCAGAGAATAACTTCAGTGAAAGATGCCGAGTGGATTTTTTTTGTTTGCTTTCATTGGGAACTGTGCCATTACTATTGATCCTGTCATATTTTCGATCCTGTGATTCTGTAGCCTGTCTTTCCCTTTCCTGAGTACTTGAACTTCAAGTCTTGTGAATTTGTAATAATTCATATAAAAACTATATCTATAATTATGAATTGGTTTTATGCACAATTATTTATAACAGTTTATATATAAATTGGATAATTATGAATTGGCTTTAATTAGTGTCCAGAAGTTAAATGGGATGAAGGTAGACCTAAATTTTGGTGAGTCAGTAGTACTCATTCTTCTAAGGTAATGCTCTGCTGAGGTGTATGGATAAAGTGATCTTCATTAGGATACATATCTGCTGCCTGAGACAGAGACTGAAAAAACATTGGCTGGAAAATGGGTAGGACCTGTATAGGTCAGATGCAGTCTTCCCTCTACTGTTTCCTTCTGGTTGGGGTGCTAAAAAGCCAAGCTGCCTTCCGCTTGTGTTGCTGCCTGTGAAGCGGTGGGATATACCAAGGAGAGCTGTACTTTAAGGATGGACAGCCCCAGCTAGCAGCAAATGCTGCCGCCTCCTTCTTCCCACTTGCAGCAGGAGCTACAAGCCCTCAGTGCTCACCAGGTTTTTATCTTCCCTTTAGTTGTCCATCTCCAGTTTCACAATGAGCTGAAACTCTCATTCCTGGAGCTGTAAAATTCAGCTATGCCTGTTCTACTGAAAAATCTTGACTCTGCTAATAAGAATGGTAGAAGATGACTGCATTATCCTACAGTTTTATATGTTGATAAAACATATCAGTCATTTGGCTGCTTAAGGCGGTTAAATGTATATTTGTAACTTTAAAGACTACTTTATGTTAGGATTTGGAGGTGAAATTCAGCAACCTCATGCTTAGTACAGGCAAGGGTTTTCCTTTTTTAATAGTTATGCATTGTAAAAGCAAAATGCTGTGTTTCTGTTAGGTATTCAAAACTTGTTGCCTAGTTTTCTGAGAGCCCCAAATTGTTAAAATTAAGTGTATATGATGCTTCTGTGGTCCACTGGGCTTTATGTTAAGGTTCGAGAACTCATTTTGTTGCTGCTAACCTGGAATGGCCTCCAGGATGGTTAGAAGTGACCCCATCAGTCTGTCGCCACACAGATTTGTGAGGCCTATCCCCAAAGACAGCCTGGTTGGTTACCTCCATGTTCCAATTCCAAGAACAATGTCTTTTGGAAAGCAGAAGGAGCAGAGGTGGAAATGTGTGCTCCACATTTACTGAGGATGTTTCCTACCCTCAGAAAACCCTCAAAAATACCATAACAATGTGTTACAAAAGAATCTTTCCTGAATTTTTAAAGGATTTTTGTTTGGATTAGGCTTCTAGTCAGCTTCTTAAATAGTTGGAGATTCTTTACTCCTTTAAAATTTGGGGGGGTGGAATTATTTGCTTAATGATGGCACTCAAAATCAAGGTCAGCTTCATCTTTTTACACTGTAGCATATGTAACTTTGAGATTTTAATGTTTGGGGGTATTTTATTTCTCAGGTGACAAACTTGCTTGGCAAGGGTCTGTGCTTTTTGATGTTCCCTGTTCAACACCTTCTAAAAAGTGTACCCTTTTAATGCCATCTGTGAGGAAGTGCTGGCAAGCTCTTAGTTTTGTTTTGCTTATAGCTTGTCACTCGTTTCAGTAGCAGTTTTGTTAGTCCTGGTAGTACAGTATCGCAACTGTACCATTTGAGCTAGTATTCCTGGAAAAAATGTTGAAAATTCATCTTTCTTTTAGGGAGATCACCCATGCTTGTTCAGAATCCCTTAATTTTCTATGAGCATAAATATTTGCTAAAACTTTAATGATTTGAACCTTAAAGATGCTAGGCACCATTATTTTCCTTCAAGATGACTTGGGAGAAGTTAGACACAGGTTCTGCAGGAACAACAGTCTGAAGAAATTGGAAACAGTCTGAAGAAATCCGAATCATATACTGCCTAAAAGCAAAGTGTTGACCTCCTGAATACTGCTTTCTACGTGAAACAGCTTTGAGAACATGATCTTTTTTTATTCAGAATATCCCATTTTGTCCTTTTAATCTTTCAGGGACCCGTATCACACAATCGCTGCAATCAATCCAGAGAAATTAAATATCTTCCAAACAGTGAGAGAGATAACAGGTAACACACTTCTGATTTCATATAATCTGAACTTCTCACGTTGCATTTATGGTTGTCATTTGTTGGGTTTTCTGAAGAACACAAGGTGCTTTTTTCTTTCAACTCAACTGCACTGTAAACTTCATAGAAGTTTAATACACAACAACTTCAGTATCAGTTGATCTTCACAATGTGTTGTCCTTTGCTCATGAATACAGAATACCCATTATGTTTGGGGTACACAAGCATCAGAAGACCAAGACCTTACTGTTGAGTGGGCAAGGGGTCTTGGTCTTCACTTGAAAGCATTTGAAATATACCTTGGAAAAAAACAGACAAGACAATCTGGTTTTGCAGCTTCTTCTCTTGGTCTAACGGCAGATGCTGTTGCAAATTAGCTTCTGTAATTTAAAGACAAATGTATAATGTGTGGGGTGGTAGTCCCTCCCATCTTTTGTAGCTTTTCAGTGCGGTCGTATAGCTAGAACTCAGTACTACTTTTCTTGCATCTTGCTTGTTGTTTCACCATTTGGGGGATAGGGAGGAAGATACTACAGCTCTGAGTTCTCAATTGATTGCTGATAATGTATAGATAGGGAAATGAAAAAAAAATTCTATTTCATGCACACAAAAAAAAATCTTTGGATGCTACAAGCATGATTGTAGCTGGGTGGAGCTCAACAAGGGTTTGGCACTTGAAATGAGTTCTCTCCCATGTGCTTCACCTCTCAAAAGTTGTGCATTTCAGCAAACCAGTGGGATTAAAAAATGAAAGTAAGCTGCGAATCTCTCCCTAATTAATGTCAAAGATAATCTGGCATCTGGGTGTCTGTAATTTAGCATTCTTAAGCACACTGTCTAATTGACAGTCTCAGCTCTACTACTTAAGTGGAATTACCCCTATGCTTAAAGGTGTACTGCATTTCAGTCCAGTACTGAATCAAAATCATAGGGAACTGCACTCTGTAGAGGTCTGTGTAGCACAGAGTAAGTAGTCCCACATATCTGTGCAGAAAATGCTTTCTGGTGATGAACAGTCCTCGCACACACACACACAGAGAAACGATTGCAAGTTCTTTGTTTTAGGAAAGTCTTGTCATCTTTAGTGCATCATAACAGATCTCTCAACTTCTGTCCCAAGTCTCTAGCACATTTTAAAACTAAATGTTCTTAATTCAGGCAAATCTCCATTTTTCCTGCTGCTGTTTAGAAAAGGCTGGGATGCCTTGCAAGATTTCAGCCTGTGTTTAGGTTCACCCTCACTGTGTCTTGTCGAAAGTGGACGTAACGCTGCTGTGACTGTTAGTCCTCCTTTGCCTTCTTGGAGGAAACAGTGGTGAGCAGCCTGATGAATTTAAAGACAGTAGTCTGCAGCATTCATTACCTATTATTTCTTTTTCTCAGACCAGCAGTGTCTTTCATTTATAGGCTAAGCCTATCCTAATTCATGTATGTGATAAAGCAGTCTTTATGGCTGAAGTCATTGATATTCGTATGCTTGCCTTTTTCTCCTTCAGGGTATTTGAACATACAGTCATGGCCTGAGAATATGACAGATTTCAGGGTGTTTTCTAACTTGGTTACTATTGGTGGAAGAGCTCTCTATAGGTAAGGTACTTCCTCTGTTGATGGAATCGTTTTTTATTAATATTCAATGGTTCTTTGTTCACTAGCACAGAACGCAACATCCTTTGGGAAGGGCATCATAAATTGATATGTTTTTCTTTGTTACCAAGGTATTCATTACCAGTATCTTTGCTAATCGGTTGTTTATAATGGGTAATATCTTTTGAACATAATGATTTAAAAAAATCCAAAAAATACCCAAAAAAACCCCATCTTGGTTCATTGCTGTAGCTGTTAACTCATTGTCCAGAAAGTATATTTAATGGTTTAAAATACCTTGTGAATGTGAAACATAAGTTAAAAGACATTAATAGCAGAATTTAGCCCCCTTATCAGGAAGTTTATATGGTTGCGATTGGAAGTGCAGGCTCATGTGCCCAAAGAACAATGTGGTCTTAAGAAATGGTAAAAGATAAATACGTGGAAGAACACTGAAATCACTGAGGTACCATGCAGGTGGGGCGTACGTTAGCTCTGTAGTGCCATTTTTACCAGAGATGTTTCCGTATGAATAGTCATATGGAAGAATTCGTTTGAAGAGAAGAAAATGGGGTGAGAAATAATGAGGGAAGCACAAGAAGGTATCTGAATGATATATATACAGCAATCCCTGGTTCCCCATTGTGTAAATATATAGTAAATCAGTCATGGGATTCTGCTGGCATCTTAAACAGCAACCCAAGCAAGATTATGAATAGCAGTGAAACCTTGAGATTGAATTACAGCCCAGCATTCTGTTTGGAAGCAGCAATTTTTATTTGGAACAGCTGGAAAACAATTATAACCATTAAAATACAATAACTTAAAGGATGCCCAGAAACTGGATATCGTCTTCACTATTTTTCAGTCATAAAATATGTGCAGTCATTTCCATGTTACACAGACAATCATTTACCATTCCTTTGATGAAGAACAGAGATAACCACATATTACAACAAAAGAAAAATGAAATGTAGAAAGTGGGCTGGAAAAATTTCCTTGAAAATAACAATTTCTTCCTGTATTACTATAAATGACATTAATTTGGTGCCTGACAGAAGATGTTAATACATTTTGCATGACTTTGTCAGTTTCTCCTTAGCCTATAAACTACCATAGTATTAATTCTGTTGTCTTAGAAAAAAAAATCTGGATTTTATTCTGTTGTCTCAGCAGCACTTTGTCTCAAAAAACATGTTAATGGATGAAATGGAACAAGTTGAGGTGTTTCGCTGGCCCAGTTGGCCTAGCGCTGTGAGCATCACAGCTTGCCGTATCACAAGTCTTACAGGGCTCATAATTTTTCTAGGCAACAGAGCTGGATGTTGACTCATAAAACATTTGTGTCACCCCAAAATAAGTTTTCTGATCAAATTTCAGTTTTGCCAGAAAGGTCATCTTGACATTAGGAACTAGTGGGAAATTCCCAACCAGCTCTAATAAGTTTCACCTTCTGGTGCTAATTCCTGTTCTCTCTTACTTTTGTTTTCATCACAGTGGTCTTTCCTTACTCATCCTAAAGCAACAAGGCATTACCTCACTGCAGTTTCAGTCCTTAAAGCAAATCAGTGCTGGCAACATCTACATAACAGACAACAGCAATTTGTGCTACTACCACACTGTCAACTGGACCAGCCTCTTCAGCACACCCAGTCAAAAGACGGTCATTCACCGAAACAAAAAAGCAGAGAACTGCAGTAAGTACTGCTGCTGAGTGCAAATCTTCTTGCCTACGATTAGCTCACATGAGGGGAAAATGATACAACTACTGACAGGATAGAGTGTAGCGAGCAGGCCAGAAACTCAGCTGATGTTTCTTGGAGCTCCGTGGACATCAGTGGATCTATGATCATTTACAGACTCTAAGGATTTGGCCCAATCTGCATCTGAGCAGGTTTATGGGCAAATTAAATCTTTTAAGGTATGAATAAATGAAAGGGAGAAGAGAGAGAGTACTACTTCCTTACTGCGATGTGAACTTTCCCGATTAGAGATCCAGTTTCACAAATAGGAATTCTGAACACCGTAAATGCAGAGTGAATGTAGCATTCATGAAAGGCACTGATTTTACAGATTTGAAAACTACAGCCCTTTCCTTGTAGAGTGAGATTAGCATCTTTTGCTTCCCCTACCCTGCTTCACCAAAGAAGCCCTGTCTTAATCCAGAAAGGTGACTTTTGGGACTGGTTTTGATCACTAGGTTCCTCCTTTCTGTACTTGACCTATCTGATAAGGAAGAATACTTTTAATTGGGCCTAATTGTCTTTCAGGAAAGCTTACGTGCCAATACTTGGACTGAGATCATAGTACTGAAAAGCAAATGAATGCTATGTAGCAGATGAAACAATTTGGTTATGCAGAAATCAGGCAGCAAATTGCATTAATACAGCCATTTTGTAGCAGCAATACAATTCACTTTAAGCATCTGTTAGACTGCTAGCAAGAGAGGAGATTCATTAAACTGCTGTATGTTTAAGTGATATTTCTGGGTTTTGTGCTTTGACCAGCCAGAAATGTTTGCTTTGGTTTTTTTTCAGGCTGTGGTCCTACTCTTAACTTATTCTTTTATTTCTTTTTTTCTTTTTTTTTCTTTGCTTTTTCCCCTCCCTTTGAAGTACTACTCTGTTATGCTTTGAGGGAATTTGTGGCTGTGCTTATCACTGTGGTATGAGGGTACCTTCCAGTGTTAGGTGAAAGACAACTATACATTTATCACTGCTGCTCAGTTATTTTTCTAATCTCTTCTGCCATGTAAGATCTACATGAAGTGGAAAGTCTTGTTTGGTAGGTCTCTGCCTGGTTTTGTTTTGATTGTTGTTGTTATTGTTATTATTTGGCTGTTTCTCTGCATACAAATTAAAAAAGTGAAGGTTAAAGAAATGCCTCTTGCTGTTGACGTAGATAATTTAATTGTGACCATGCCTGAGGGTGTAGAGGGAAAGGGTTGTTTCTTAACCTTCAGCAGACCATTGTCTGATTTTAAACTGCAGCATACTTTATCCTTTGACGTAAACATTCTGTTATGTGAGACAGAAGGATGTGTTGAACAGAACTTTTCTTGGTAGAAGGTTTTGTGTATGTTTGTAAAATATGTCCTTGGTGTAGCAGTGAAACTACGGATTAGACCGTTACATTTGGTAGAACGTTTTGTGGGAAGGCAATACAGAAGGTGGAGGAGAGATGTAGCGTCTGCTGGTAGTTCTGTGGTTAGGAAGTGCGTAAGTGTGTCCTGTGTGTTGAACAACTTGATGCCCTGGTGTCCTTACTGCTGTAACCCAGCCAAAGGCATGAGTAAATGTCTCCAGGTGGTTGTCTGTGAGAGTAGTGTAGCTCTTTTCGTCATCCAGAGATGATCGAACATGTGATGATAATGTCCTGTGGGAATGAAGTGTTGATGAAGAGTCCAAGAATAGTCCTGAATAATGAAATGAGTTAACCAGTTACAGGACAAAGAAGGTTGTACAATCTCTATTTTCAACACACCCAGCTTCATCTTGTTCTGGATTAGCTCCAGTTGCTCAACATCCCTGAGCTTTGTACCATCTTAATGGCTTCTGTTCTCTTGGTTTTTTGGTTTTTTTCCATCTCAAGGCTTTTTCTTTGCTTTGAGTTCTTCTGAGTGTGAATATTATTTGAACATTGAATAAAATCAGCCTTGCAAGGGAAAAACATGCATTTTCTGGCACTGTCAGCTCCTTAGAAACTTGGAGGAAAGCTCCTGACTTCCCATGAATAACTAGTGCCTTCACTCTTGCCAGCTAGAGCATTTGTAGATGGCTTGTAGTTCTGGTATGCACTCTGTTTTTCCTGCTCTCCTCCCCCTGCTCTCTCCCCTGCCCCCTCCCCCCCCAGCAAAGCCTACTATGAAAAATAGCATATTATTTGGCAAATAGAGGTGTTGCCAAGAAAGAGAATCACATCTGTCCAGGGATGGTGGATTGCTAGTTGCTTTTCCCTGATAGTGTTGGAGTTGTATGGGATCAAGTGGTGGGGAGGAACCTAGTTCTGTGCTAGCAGTCTAGTAACAAGTGTATTTCGTATGTCATGATAGGAAGAATTTAGCCCTTTGAGATTTCACCTAAGGAATTTCTTCAGCTGACAGAACAGAATCTGTCTGAAGTAGTACAAGGTCTTGATGACTGTGCAAGAATCACTAGGGTTATATTCCAGGATCCTAGTGGTCCCGTCTTGCTGTGAGATACATGAACCTGTGAACCTTCCACAGAGTACAAGATTCCTCTCTACCATATGAAAAACTGCTGACTGTGGGAGAAACATCTTGCTCTTGGTGCTCTTTGATGTTTTCTAACAGCAGATTGGCTATAGCTGTCTGATAATGATGCATCATTTAATGAAAGAACAACCAGCTGTCTTCCATTGCTAGAGATTTAGTATAAAAATGTCTCACAGTAATGCTTCCTCTTTGCTTCAAGCTCTCTATAACTTACAATGTGTTAGAAGACAGTGGAAAACCACTCAGGTGAACTTCGTAAGGCACTTTTCTGTTCATGGAATAGTGTCCCTTCTGTTTTGCTGGATTTGAGAGCTTGGGGACATAGCTGAACACAGTAGTTTGGAAGATATTCCCATATTAGTTGTTAGGACTCCTTTGTCAAATACCTCTTTGCCCTTTCCTGTGATCACTAAGTTCGAGTCCCTTTGAAGCAGCCACAACTACTGAAACATGGGCTTTCAGGGCAAATGGAAATTTGGATGTACTGTCACATCATCCTCTTGCACTGTACGTCTTGTCACTACATTTGCACACAAAGGGAAAATGTAAACTTTATTTGACTTTTAGCTTGCTGAGGATTTGTTATAATGGAGACGCATCATTTTCCAGGAAGAAAAATACTCCTAAAGATATTTTATGAAATTTAACACCAAGGGAATCTTCATGAGGAAAACAAATCTCATTCATTTCATTTTAAGAAGTCACAATGTAAGCCACAGTACCAAGGGGCTAGTTTTAAAAATGGACTCTAACCTATGTTCATTAAATGGACTGCATATAATGAACGCAGGCTAGGGGCCAAGTTACTCTGATCAGCAGGCAGTGTCTTAGACAGTTGACTTCCTGAATCCTAACAGGGAACAGTGGTTTTCTCTCTCTATGCACATCTGTGTGAATGAATTGATTAATGTTTTGTGGCCTTTTGAGAGTCAGCATTAGATGAGAAGAGCTATCCTGCTGCTTCAACTCTGCCTGTCAGTCAGCACCTCTCTGGGGTTAAATGGGTTCTGCTGCAGGTTAGATGTCTAACTACAATCTTCACAATTACTTGGAGTAAGGCAGAGCTGTTCCTTAGCGCCAGATGGATTTCTCCAGCATCCTCTGAAACATCTGTGATTTTCAGGATAGGCCAACAGGCTGGGGTTTAAGAGAGTTTTCTCTGAATCTTCCACTGCCTGAATGTTTGGGATCTGAGGGCAAGCCTCTAGGGTTTCAATTTCTGCCTTTCAGTTATTTTGCCTGTTCCAGCCCCTGATCCTGCAGATGCTTGGGCATATGCCCATGCCTCTCTGAGTGACAAATAAGACTAGTCAGAATAGGGAAGGGAAATGCGTAAGTAAATATTTGCACGATTGGAATCCATCCTCTATGGCAGAAATACTGTCTGCTTGCATGGTAACTAGCAGGGTGTGAATTGTTTGTTAATAAAAATATCCATTAAACATTTTTTTCACATGGTTTCCAATGAAGAACCAAGTCTAGACCATATTAATTATTACAGCCTCTCTCAGGTATGTTTATTATTATTCCTTTGTATATTCTGAGTCACTATCAGCTTGTTTTTGCTTTCCTCACTACCTAGTGATGGTTAACGTCTTAAAGCAAGGTATAGCAAACATTTAATATCCATGTGTAGCTTTTCTTAAAACTTGAGTTAGAGCTTCCAAGATCTGGTCAGCATCATATTTAAGTGACTTTTAGGATATATCACAAGATGGTGATATCTTTTCCATACCGTTTAATACTGTGTTCAGCTGACCATATAATTCAATGAGGAAATATTAAAAAAATTGTTAAGGGAGTAAATTATTTGTGGAAAAGTTCAGTCTATAGCGATGCTTCATCTTTGAGATAACACTGACATTATAGGGTTTGACAGAACTCTGATTTTTTTTCCCCCCCCCCGCCCCCCCCCCCCCCCCCCAATAA